CTTACCTTTTATTATCTCTGTTCTCCTTTTCTGTCATTCATGTTAAATGGACCTTGGACCATCTAATTCATTCTCTGTTCCTTTTAAGTTTTCTTTCATACTTTTCATCTCTTACATTTTTGATCCAATTTCTGGGTATTTTTCTTAATTTCAGTTTCGTTCTCTTAATCTTTTTAAAATCTGTGTCCATTTTAATTGCTTAGGTCATTGATTCAACTATTAATTTAAAAAATTCAATGGTGGTAAAGTTAATTTATAGCAGCTCTCTTACTCTCTAATTGTTCTTTTGTCATATAACTAGGCAGGTAGGTTTCCCCGAATTGTCTCTGAGAAAAAACTAGGCAGAAAGTGAAAAACAGTGTGAGAGTTCCTCAAAAAGTTAGACTTAGGGTTACCATTTGACCCAGTAGTTCTACTCCTACGTATATACCCAACAGAAATGAAAATGTTATATCTACACAAAACCTTGTGCATGAATGTTCATAGCAGCATTATTCCCAATAGCCAAAAGATGAAAGCAACCCAAGTGTCCATTGTTGGATGAAGGGATAAACAAAATATGGTATATCTATAATGGAATGTTATTCAACAATAAAGAGGAATAAAGTACTTATATATGCTGTAGCATATATGAATCATGATAACATTATGCTAAGTGAAAGAATCCAGTCAACAATGCCATACACATATGTATTATTCCATTTATGTAAAATGTCCAGAATAAGTAGAAATACAGAAGATAGAAAGTAAATTAGTGTTTGTTTAGGTCGGGGGAAGATGATGTAAGATTGGGTTTTGATAGCTAAAGGGTATGGAATTTCTTTTTGAGTTAATGAAAATATTCTAAAATTGATAGTGATGATGGTTACAGAAGTGTAAATATATTTTAAATGATCAGGTTGTAGACTTCATATGGTTGAATTGTATGATATGTGAATTATATCTCAATAAAGCTGTTATCAAAAAAAAAAGAAAAAGGCAGGCGAGGAATCCACACAGTTGCTAGATAAAAGAGGACTTTTTCATGACAGATTAGAGCATTTAAACAGATCTGACTCTTGTGGGTAAGGTAGGAGTGGTTGGGCAGCTACCCTCATGTACCAAATATAGTATTTAAAGAAATTGCTCTTGCTGTTATGTCTCCTGTCACGGCTTTGTCAATTCTGTTACATTAGCTTTCTGTTAAATTAGAATTTGTTATTTCTCAAATTCGTTGTCTGTGCGTGGCATCTTTCCTTGATTTGTGGTGCTGTTATACTTTTGTTCATTTTCATATATAAAAAACATACTTTTTGACATTCAGTCAGATTTGGAAGGGGAAGCAAGCATATGCTTCCTCTTCCATCTTGAAATGTGAGGTTCTATAATTTTTATACCCCTTGAACGAATTTTAGAGATAATATTAATAAGCAAAATTTTGGTTTCTGTAGAAAACTCTTAGTTGACTGGAATGAGGAGAAATACACTGATTTCTATGTGTTTGTAATTAACAAGTAATTCTGAGACTGCAGTTCTGAATTTGACTAACCAGTGAGTTGTATGTGACCTTTGTTGGACAGTCTGCTCAAATACTTTATGCCTCACTTTCCTTGTTTGTTAAATAAAGGCATTCTGTTTATCCCTTTTAGTTTTAAAATTGATCATGTTTACAGTTGACCCTTGAACAACACAGGTTGAACTGTGTTGGATCCACTTAATAAGTGGATTTTTTTTTCAATAAATATAGTTTACGGGTCTTTAAGTGTGGGGAAAAGTTTGTGTTTGGTTAGAGATCACAGTATGTGGAATCAAAAGAACTAGGGTTTGAGTCCTGACTTTATCCAAACTGCTTTAGCATTCTGCCCTTGGGTGAGTCATTTATCAATTCCTTTATTTTTGAGGCAGAGATAACTGTCCCCGGGTTTTTCCACAGAGGGGTGGGGGATTGGTGTGTTGACACCCTTCTTCCCTTTCTATCCTGCCTGAACAACTCGCAGTGGAAGACCTTCGCATAACTTTTACAGTCTGCCTTCAGTGTCCGTGGTTTTACATCCATGGATTCAACTAACTGTGGATTGTGTTGTACTGAAGTATGCAGGTATTTATTGAAAAAAAAATTGAAAAATATAGGAGCTAATAGTACCCACCTCATAAAGTTGTGAGCATTTAAAAAAATGATGATTTGGATAAAATGTTTAAAACAATAACTTTTGGCACACATAATAAATATTATGTAAATGTGAGCTGTGGAACCTCACCCTAAAACATCAGAGGGTTCTGAAATCCTGTAAGTCTTAGAAAAACTGAATAATAGTCAAACAGGTTTCTTTGTTTCAGATATCTCAGTGCCTTTAATATGCTGATATGCACTATGAAAATTCAAGATGGAAATAGAGTACACACATTTCCTACGCTTATTTGGTCACATAATCCTTTTTCTCTAGACCGTCTTGCAAAGCTAGTGTTCTTTTTATTTATTTTTTATTTTTTGTGGTACGCGGGCCTCTCACTGTTGTGGCCTCTCCCGCTGCGGAGCACAGGCTCTGGACACGCAGGCTCAGCAGCCGTGGCTCACGGGCCCAGCCACTCCGTGGCATGTGGGATCTTCCCGGACCTGGGCACGAACCTGCGTCCCCTGCATCGGCAGGCAGACTCTCAACCACTGTGCCGCCAGGGAAGCCCGCTAGTGTTCTTTTTAAACCGTAATAGTCTAGAACCATATTGGTCCAGTAAGGTAGCGGCTAGCCTTGAGGTTATAGATACTCAAATTTAAGTTAATAAAGTTAAATAAAATTTAAAATTTTATTTAAAATAAAACTCATCAGTCACACTAGCCACCTTTCAAGCATTCAATGGCCACGTGTGGCTAGTGGCTGTCAAACTGGACGCACAGATACAGAACATTCCCACTGGAGTCAGAAAGTTCTGTTGGATGGTGCTGGTAGAATTTGATAACAAAAACTAAGTAAACAAGAGTATATAGTTGGTTTACTGTAATTTTAGTAGGTATAATAAATTTAGGCCCATCTAGTTCTTCCCGAAATATTATAGTTATTTGATTCTTAGTCACTGGAAGAAATTAATGATGATGGAACGCAGAAGACTATAACTTAAGGAAAGTTCTTGAGAAAGTGAGAAAGGATGGTGTTGCTGTAGCAACAACAAACTGGGTGGCCTACATCAGAAATTTATTCTCTCAGTATTCTTGGGAGGCAGAAGTCTGAAATCAAGGTGATAGCATGGTTGCACTCCTTGTGACCAGCCTAGGGGAGAATCCTTCCTTGCCTCTTCCAGCTTTTGGTGGGTGTTGGCATTCCTTGGCTTCCTTGGCATATGGCCATATCACTCCAATCTCTGTCTCCATCTTCAGCTGGTCTTCTCCTCTCTGTCTTCTCTTTTGTCCGTTGTAAGAAGACCTGGCATTGGATTTAGGGTTCACCTGGGTAATTCAGGAGGGAGGATCTTACCTGAAGATCCTGAACTTAATTATGTCTGCAAAGACCCTTTTTTCAATTAAGATTACATTCACAGGTTCTGGGGGGACATACCTTTTGGAGAAATTGGCTTTTGAAAGTGGAATAGCCTCAAACGAACATGGCAGTTGATCACTGTATGTTTACTTTGTCTATTCATTCTTCCTCTCTCCTCCAATCTCTCATATCACTCTTAGTTGTTACATAGTTCAGAAAGTAATTAGAAGAGAACATTTCCTAAACTACCGCAACTAGCCACCTATCTGCATCTGGGACTGTGTACTTTGTTTTCTCTCCTGTTAGTATTAGGTGAATATTATTAGTGGTATACAAATACTGCTGTTAACATTTTGGCAGGTTTGCTAATTGTGTTTATTGGCATCTCAGGGTTTTATAGATGGGATCTGAAGGCAATTGGAAGTATGGAAGTGGGTATAATAACTGTGTTTTTCCTACTCCTAATGTAACCATTTCTGTATTTATCTCTTTTTATATTTTGAAGTTCTGTGAAATGTTTAATTTGAGTAAAAAGATCTACTTCCATACTTAAAAATTTAAAGTTTTGAAAATACTTTCCAAGACTGGCATCTTTTTTGAATACTCTATTCACATCCCAATCTCTCTCTTCTTTGACTGATCTTCTGTAGCACTTGCTGTCTACGTTGCATACATTTTGTTGGCTGATAACTTGGTATTTTAAATTTTTCTTTTTCATGTGTATTCATCCTTTTGTCCCTCCAAGGTCGTAAATCCTTTGAAATTAAAGTGTATACGTATGCCCTTTGGTTATCTCCGACAGCATCTAACATGTTAGAGACATGTAGTAGGGAAAATTGACTTATGATCTGGATTATTAAAATGCTATGTAGTTTGAGACTTATTAGAATCAGTATCCATAGCCCGTTGTCTGGGTATGTGTAATTCTAGGGGTTTATATGGATCATCTTGTATGAAAAGTTTTATGTATAGTTAGTATATGTATTTTCCTGAAGAGAAGTTCTCTAGCTTTTATCAGATGCCAAAGTAATGAAGTATCAAAGGTTTAGTTCATCTCTCTCTGTCCCTATATTTGGCAGATACAGAAATTGTGTCACTAAGCAACTTTCCTAGAATCATACAACCCAATGTAATTTCCCAATTCTTTACGTTATAAAGTAATAGCCTTTATGATATCTAAAACTTTTAGAACTTACTAGAATATACATTTGTAAGGATTTTAGAGTTCAGTACTTAATATAGGAAGATATGCATTGCTTATAAATAATAATTTATGAAGTTATTTTTACCTTCTGTTTAGTTTAATGGCTAATTATGGTCAGCCTATATATTTTAAATTCTTATAGTTGTACACTTGTGGAAAAAATTTCTTAAGTATGGAAATTTAGCAAAGTTGTTTTTTATACAACATTTTAATTCATTTATTCAACATAATTATGTAGTTCAAAAAGTTTCACTAAATGTGATTTAACGAACTTCTAATCAGAAAAATTTGCATTGTGACAACTGACAAATGCTAACTTACTTTTTTCTACTGTGATTTCCTTTTAGGTTTGATGAACTTGTAAAAAAATTCAAAGTTGAATATCATGCTGGTGGCTCTACCCAGAATTCAATTAAAGTGGCCCAGGTTGGTTAATTATTTTAAAGGTGATAAAGAAATGGATTCAGAATGATTCTAGACTTTTGGTCATTGTGCATAATAATTCCAATCTATATTTTGTTGCTATAGAATATTTCTGTTGGTTTTGAATGTTTATTATTCATTTACATTTCTTCTTAATTTCCTGTGGAATCCTTTGATTATTATTTTATATTTCATGTTATTGATTTGTAGAAATTCTGCATATTTTATAGATAGTATTCTTTTTTATTCTATAAATTCGAAGTATTCCTTATTTGTCATTTGTACTTTAACTCTGCTTATCATGTCTTTTACTTTTCCAAAGTTCTTAGTTTTTTTTAATATAGTTAAACTTTATGGCTTCTGCATTTCATATAATACTTAGAATGGAATTCTTACAACAAGATACTATAAGTTTTCTTGTTGTATATATAAATACATATATACCTATATATCTACATAGTTGTATGTATGTATGTGTAAATTTATGTATCTGTGTCTATATCTATATACGTCTTCCAGAGGGTAATTGGATAAACTCATTTTGACGTATACTCTACAAGTTACCAGGGTGACCTAATTTTAAGTGGGAGCGTTAGTGTTCTGTTTAAAGTTCCAATTATGAAGGACATGAAAAAGCTTTACAAACTTCTGGTTCTTGCCTCTACGATTTGTAAACTAGCTCAAAATCCCACTAAATGCAGTCAAAGGTCAACTCTGATGGACTCAGGTCATTTTGATTTTTTTATTGATTAATGCTTTCCCTTTGAATTGTAATTATGGGCCAGAGAAGTGGAAAATTGACAAACAAAGGTTGAACAATTTCTGGTTTTTTAAACTAACTTTTATTAGATTTAGACTTACACTGTATAATTATCCTGCATACTTCCAAAGCTCAAATTTAATCATAGTATTAAAATATTGTAGGTTGTAAAATATTATGTGTAGTGGCCTGAGGAGATGAGGTCTTTGTATTTGTCAGCTGATTTTGTTTGTTTGTTTGTTTAACATTCCGCTGGTCACTTTGTGAGCTCAGGTTAATGGAAAAAAGACAGTTTACTTCTGTATTAGTTTTCTCAGGCTGCCGTAACAAAATACCACTGACTGGTTAGCTTCAACAACATAAATTTATTTTATTACAGTTTTGGAGGCTGATGCCATCTAAGATGAAGATGCTGTCAGGTTTGGTTTCTTGTGAGGCCTCCTTCCTGGCTTGTAGATGGCTGCCTTCTCACTGTGTCTTCATGTGGAGGTGGGATAGTAGGGGGAGCGTTCGGTTCTCCAGGAACCAAGTCAACTATATCTTAGTCTTGGATTTTCCAGCCTCCAAAAAAATTTTTTTTGTTGTTCAAGCCATGCAGTCTGTAATATTTTGTTATGGCAGCCTGGGCAGACTAAGACAAGTTATATACCCAAAACAATTGAAAGCAGGGTGTGGAAGACATACATGTAAACCCATGTTCATAGCAGCATTATATTCACAATAGCTAAAATGTGGAAGCAACCCAAATGTCCTTCAGTGAATGAATGGATAAACAAAATGTGATATATGCACACAATGGTATATTTTTCAACCTTAAAAAATAAGGAAATTCTACCACATACTACAATATGGGTGAATCTTGAGCATATATACTAAGTGAAATAACCCAGTCACAGAAGGACTAATGATGATGATTCCAGTTATATGAGGTACCTAGGTTAGTCAAATTCATAGAGATGGGAAGTAGAATGGTGGTTGCCAGGAGTTGTGGGAGGGGGAAATGAAGAGTTATTGCTTAATGGGCATAGCGTTTCAGTTTTACAAGATGAAAAGAGTTGTAGAGATAAATAGTGGTGATCGTTGTACAACAATGCAAATGTACTGTATGCTTTAAAATGATTAAAAAGGTAAATTTTGTATATATCTGTTTTACTACATTTAAAAAATAAATCGAAAATAGATTCTAGGAATGCTTCAAAAGGGAGTGATATCAACTTGATTCAAGTTACGGATTTCATTTGTTTATTCAATAATCATTGAGGCGACATAATAAGTCAAAAGCATGGGCTTGCTCTTGGGGCCATGGGAGTCCATTAGAACTGGGTTTGAGTTCAAGCTTTGTCACTTTATTGGCTATGAAAGCATGAGCAACTTTTATGGGCCTTTCACCTGTAAATGGAGGTTAATGCTTATTGCAGGTGGAAGTTGTAAGGATTTATGAGATAATGAATGTTTTAAAAAATTATGCTTCTTTTTGTTTTAATTAATTAATTTATTTATTAATTTTTTTTGGCGGTGTTGGTCTCTGTTGCTGCGCACAGGCTTTCTCCAGTGGCAGTGCACGGGCTTTCTCTAGTTGCGGTGAGCGGGGGCTACTCTTCATTGCAGTGCACAGACTTCTCATTGCAGTGGCTTCTCTTGTTGCAGAGCACGGGCTCTAGGCATACAGGCTTCTGTAGTTGTGGCACGTGGGCTCAGCAGTTGTGGCTTGCGGGCTCTAGAGTGCCGGCTCAGCAGTTGTGGCGCACAGGCTTAGTTGCTCCGTGGCATATGGGATCTTCCCCGACCAGGGCTCGAACTCGTGTCCCCTGCATTGGCAGGCAAACTCTTAACCACTGCACCACCAGGGAAGTCCCTATCCTACTTTCCAAAAGAAAGTTTGGAAAGTTTGGAAAGGGCTTTTTCCCCCCCCCATTTTTCTGAATTTTCTTCATCTTAACAGAATGTAAATTTACCCATTCATGGACAGAACAACCAGTTTTTTGGCTCTCATTCACATAAAAATACTTATTTCAATCTAGTCTTCAGTTGAACATCTTGTTTAGGTTTTTAGTTCCCCTACTATTTTGAGAGGGCTTTTCTTTTACATCTGATTGATGATTCAGCTACATAATTGCCCAGTTATAATTTATGACTCGGGTAACCACAGAGTTTTGAAAAACATTCCTTTAGAAGTACTTTTCTTTAGAAGGAGAATTCTTCAGATTTTCCTTGGCAGTCATTAATAGGAAGAACTGATTCCTTTGTACATAAAGCAGATATTTGTTGGGCATCTGCTATGTGCTAGTCATTGTGCTAGGTAGTAGCTGGTAATATAAGCTATGTCATCTAAATTTTAAGTAAAATGTGATAAAATATTTAGAGCCTTAGAGTGAACAATCTTGATATAATCTTGCTTGAATCTATTGTGGTGAATGAATGAGGTTGAGCTTTACGCTGTTTAAGAAGTCTATCCAGGGACAGCCCATCCGGGAAGGTTCTGGTTTTTGTTTTCTGTTATGCACTTGATTGGTTGATTTTGGGGTTTTGTCTTCTTTTCTTATTCATTTATGTTCTCCTTCACCTCTGAGAACAACTGGATTACAGTCTTCCATTTTCTCTATCACTCTAGGTTACCGAAGAAGCAAATACTGCACAACAAATACCAGTTCAGTGTAGCTACACTAACTGAATGTATGCTAGGTGCTGTGAACTGAGATCTAAAATTAGGGCCAAGAATAAGAGTAAGAATTCAGTCATCATCAAAGTATTCATAAACCATTTTTTTTTACGATTTTTAAAATTTTTTGATGTGGACCATTTTTAAAGTTGTTACTGAATTTGTTACAATATTGCTTCTGTTTTATGTTTTGGTTTATTGGGTGCAAGGCATGTGGGATCCTAGCTCCCAGACCAGGGATTAAACCTGCACCCCCTGCATTGGAAGGCAAACTCTTAACTGTTGGACCGCCAGGGAAGTCCCCATAAACCATTTAATTCTATATGTTTTTCGATAGCATATGCCACCTGTAATACGTGTTTTTTGTTACAGGTATTTTGAAAAATAGTTCAGTTCTTCTGTAAAGACAAGAATAATAACAAGGTAGATGAAATTCATAGATAGTAACCTGGTAGGTTTTAAGACTGAGGCAAAACTCATAGGATATTTTAAGTATAGATAGTAAATAAACAAGTAGCTTGGGAAACAGGCAAAGTTGATACAATTTGTTAAATATAAATAGCAAGTAAGTTTGTAACCTGTAAGACTGCTAAAGACAGAATAAAGAAAACCTGTGTTGTAACAAACAAGAGTATTACTGATACATAGAAAGAGATGGAAAGACCATATTATGATCATATACCACTAGGCTCACTTCTCCAAAGATCACTCATTAGTGAAACTTACTATCTTCTCATTCTAACCCCCACATGCATATAACCCAGGAAAGGCAAATACAGCCATGGCTGTTCAGGCTCTTTTCCAAAGTGTTCCTGATTTTTAATATCTCCGAGGGACTCCTGCCTGTAGGCCCCCTTGCTCAAACTGTGGCCCTGTTCTCATAATGATACCATCATCATCAGGGAAGGCAGATGAGGTGAAAAGCAGATGTTTGAACATTCAGGCAGTGTGGTCCTTATACTTGTTTGCACCCTGTGTGTTAACTTACTTCAACTCTCTCCCTTGCTTCTTGTGTGTTTTAAATGGATACATCTGTGTTAAGCATCTTAATTTGGTTGGTAGGCCCTTTCTGTTCTGTGTCCTCTGGGATAGTTTGCTTATGTATGTATTGATACTTGGAGTCTACCAGGGCTTTAAGATAATTTCCCCACATCACACCAGGTTTAGATCGATTTTTCCTTGTTCGGTAGTTTAACAACAATAACTCTCATGGTAGCTATGGAAAAATATGCTGAAACATTGAAAGAGAATGTTACTTGGCAAAAATCATCACCTCTATGAAAGAAGAACTGGAAGCCATAGGAAGGGTAAAGGTTAACATTGACAGTGTAGAGCTCATTCTGTCAGATCTTACCAACAATCCATACTTTGATATATCAAGTGATGTGACAAATCATGTCAACAAGAAAATGTTCCCATTAGCTCTTAGATAATTTAATTTGTTAAAACATGTTTTTGAAGATTTTAATGAAACCACAGGCAACATAAAGCAGTATTGTTGATATCATTTCCAAATATAATTTCTAGACTTTTCTCATCTACATATTTGACAGACAGTACAAATTTAAATTTTGACAAATTCTG